GCAGTGGCACAATCTTGGCTCACTGCAGCCTCCACCTCCCAGGTTCAAGTAATTCTCCTGCCTCAGCCTCCTGAGTAGCTGGGACTACAGGCATGCACCACCACACCCGGCTAATTTTTGTGGTTAGTAGAGATGGTGTTTCACTATGTTGGTCAGGGTGATCTTGAACTCCCGACTTCAGGTGATCCACCCACCTCAGCCTCCCAAAGTGCTGGGATTTCAGGCATGAGCCACCATACCTCGCCAGGGTATTCCTATTTTATGAATGAAAAGATTAATACTTAGATTACGAAAGGCACCAATGTCACCTAATACATTTCAAGACACAGATGGGACTAAAACTCATTACCTTATATTTCCGAAGTCTGTGTTCCTCACTGATATTGTTATATCCCTATTGCCTCACTACTACCATAGTACTACTGTAGTACAATATCACTTATTCTAATAGTTTATCATGTTTTCATGTACATTGTCTGATTGATTTTCAAAAACCTCAGCTACATTATTACCTGAATAATCTAGTTCAGGTCTTATTATGATCTCATTCTGCAAATAAGGAAAACAAAGATTGAGAAGGTAAAGTTAACAAGGACTGCTTTCTTAGTCCCATTACCTATTTTTTCTATCTACTTGCCTTTACTGTTGTTCATTCTTCACTTTTAAGTCTAGATTTTAACTTTGTCATAAAACTGAGGCTAAAAGAAGTTACATAGGTTAAAAAGGTCAACAGTGGAGTCACTAACAGAACATATGCAGATCTAAACTTATGTCTTCTGATTGCTATCTTCTTAGTAGTATGTATTATACTATGGAAAAAAAAGTACCTACTGGAAGACTCAGAAGCTTCTCGGGACTTGTTTATACATGACTGCAATAATATTTGATAATTTTTCTGGTAGATAACTATGAACTTATTTGCAGAGATCGGATGTAGAGGCTGTTATCAGCTGTAAAGTGGCCATATTAATGTAATTTATTATCTGAATTAAAATTCAGTGTGAAATAAGTATGAAACAATTAAGTACTTGACAAAGATAAAAATTTCAATTGTTGGATTTTTTCCACTTAAAAATGTACAAGAACGAAGTGCTATACTCTCTCAATTCTGCTAACATTTATATTATTTAATAGTGTTTAAAATGTTTGAATTGATGGTTTTAAGATGGAAACCCAAATACTTTTTTGTTATTGCCATAACTTGTGTTTCAAATGTGAGACAGAGAGAAAATATCTTATATCGTATACATGCCCTGTATTCGTTTTGTCTAGTCTAAGGAACTGCTATAGTTCATTCTGAAATATCCATGTGTTAATTCTTAAGGTTGCTGTAACAAATTACACAAACTCGGTTGCTTAAAACAAAAGAAATATATTCTCTCAAAGTTCTGGAGGCCAGAAGTCTGAAATTAGTGTCAGTGGACTGAAATTAAGGTAGTAGGACCATGTTCCCTCCGGAAGCTCTACGGGAGAATCTGTTCTTGCCTCTTCTAGCTTCTGGTGACTGTCAATATTCCTGGCCTTGTGGCTGCAGCGCTCCAGTCTCTGCCTCCTTAGTCACATGACCTCCTCTTCTGTCTGTGTCACATCTCCCCCTGCCTCCTTATAAGGTACATGTTGATTGCATTTTGGGCCCAGTTGAATAAGCCAGGATCACCTCCCCATCTTAAAAGTTTTAATCCTTTCCAAAGTCCCTTTTTGCCATATAAAGTAATATTCACAGGTTCCAGGGATTGGAATGTGAATGTCATTTGGGGAGCCATTATTCTGCCTACCATTATTGTCTTTCCACTTTCTTTTCTTTCTCATCCCTTTTCTTCCCTCGTATTTTTATTCTTTTTCATCTTCCAGAAGCACAAAGTGGTAAATAGATTGAATGGGCATGATCCGAGTTAATGATCAAGAGTTGAGGCTGGGTGTAGTGGCTCATGCCTGTATTCCCAGCTGAGGGAAGCTGAGGCAGGTAGATCATATGAGGTTGAGAGTTCGAGACCAGCCTTGCTAACATGGTGAAACCCTGTCTCTACTAAAAATATAAAAATTAGCCTGGTGTGGTAGCAGGCACCTGTAATCCCAGCTACTCAGGAGGCTGAGGCAGGAGAATGGCTTAACCTGGGAGGTGGAGGTTGCAGTGAGCTGAGATCACTGCACTCCAGCCTGAGTGACAGAGTGTGACTCCATGTCAAAAAAAAAAAAAAAAAAAAAAGGAGTTGAGTGGCTTTGGTATAGATCAGTAAGTGAGTCTTATTGCCCTCGTTATAGAACTTTGTATTCTGTTCATAATTAATTAAATTAATTGGTTGTAATGGTACCTTCATTAAATTCAAGACCCTCTATCAAAGCAATTATTGAAATTTTAGGTAAAGTGTGTTAACATGAAATTTCTGTCCAATGAAAGCATCTGTTGGTTGGCAAAAAGTGTTGTTTGTTCTACATCTAATTTTACTTTTAGCAGATTTTTCCCCTCATATTTTTATTTTGTTTCAGTGATAGCTCACACCTGAATTTAATCCAAGGGAAACAAAATGAAAAAGTTGGTAGAGTTTTCATCCAAAAGTCCATTGTCGGAGATTTTTATGGTTTGGGGTATTTCATGTAACCTTTTGGGCTTCCATTTCCTAATATCTATAATAAATAAGTTGAATTATGTGGTTGTTAAGTCCCTTTTTTTTTTAATTTTTATTTTTAAGGGTGCCTACTGCCTGGAGTTAAATCCCTTCTAACTCTGAAAGCCTCTAGTTGTAGTATTTACTATGAAGTATTTAAAAACCAATGAACAGGCAAATAAATTCCAAATCTGATTATTCTGTACTATTTGAAAAGCAGTATTATTGACAAGATTACTTTGAAATAACTGTCCATGCTTTTTTATTTTTCTGTAGATGGACCACACATCCCCGACCTACATGCTTGCTAACTTGACCCACTTGCATTCTGAACAACTTCTGCAGGGCTTGAATATTCTTCGCCAACATCACGAACTCTGTGACATCGTTCTTCGAGTAGGTGATGTTAAAATTCATGCTCACAAAGTGGTACTTGCCAGCGTCAGCCCGTATTTCAAAGCTATGTTCACTGGAAACCTTTCCGAAAAAGAGAACAGTGAGGTTGAGTTTCAGTGCATTGATGAAACTGCTCTCCAGGCCATTGTGGAGTATGCCTACACAGGGACTGTTTTTATTTCTCAGGACACAGTTGAATCTCTCCTGCCAGCAGCAAACCTGCTTCAGATAAAACTTGTCCTGAAAGAATGTTGTGCATTTCTTGAAAGCCAACTTGATCCTGGTAATTGTATTGGAATTTCTCGTTTTGCAGAAACGTATGGTTGCCATGACCTTTATTTGGCAGCCACTAAATACATATGCCAGAATTTTGAAGCTGTTTGCCAGACTGAAGAGTTTTTTGAGCTTACACATGCTGACTTGGATGAAATTGTTTCCAATGACTGTTTGAACGTAGCTACCGAAGAGACTGTTTTTTATGCATTAGAGTCTTGGATCAAGTATGATGTACAAGAACGCCAGAAATACTTAGCACAGTTACTAAACAGTGTACGATTACCATTGTTGAGTGTTAAGTTTCTCACTAGACTATATGAAGCAAATCACCTTATTCGTGATGATCGCACTTGTAAACATCTTTTGAATGAAGCCCTAAAGTACCACTTTATGCCTGAACATAGATTGTCTCATCAGACAGTCTTGATGACACGACCTCGCTGTGCTCCCAAAGTACTTTGTGCAGTAGGAGGGAAATCTGGACTCTTTGCCTGTTTGGATAGGTAAATAGAAGTCTTTCCTAAATGAATGATACTGATTGATTTTATGCTTTTTAAATGTGCAGATTTTCTATATTTTAAAAATAGTTTGATTTTCTTTGCTTCTTTTTAGTTTTTTTCTTCTTCCTAAAATATGTATGTGATTTTTTTTTTAATTATATTGTCATTCTCTACAATACTCTTAGTTATTAACCACTTCCCCAAGTACACTTTTTATCTACCTGGTTACTCATTAACTTTTCCTCCATTTTATGTCTTCTTTTTTTTTTTTCCTGGAACCATGTACATCTTTATTTGAGTCAGGCTACATCAGAAGAGATTTATTATTGTCATGTATATCAGAAGATACCAAAGAAGAGAGCTGGGAACATATGGTGAGGACAGAGTGGGGACAGGAATGGGTTTAAATGAAAACAGTTGATTAGAAGTGCTACCAAAGAAATGAGAAAAAATAGGATACTGATATAAATTAGGTATTTTGAGTGCAATTTGTTTTCTTAAGTGTAAGTATTTTTAAAAGACAGCATTAAGAAGTGTGTGTTTTTTCCCCCCCTAGCAACTTAGAACAGGAATTGTCAGACTTTTTCTATAAAGGACCAAACAGTAAATATTCTAGACTTCGTGAGCCATATGATCTTTGTGGCATCTACTTAACTCTGCCATTGTAGTCTGAGAGCAGCCATGATAATACATAAATGAGTGAACCTGGGTGTGTTTCAATAAAACTTTATTTATAAAAATAGCTAGTGAGTTAAATTTGGCCCATGGTAATAGTTCGTCAACTCTTAATTTGGTGCGTTATACTAGAAACTTTTATATATTGAAAATATAGCTTGAAGTTGTTTTTGCTTTTTCTTAATAGGATTGCTTCATGAAAACTTTTGTGTTTAATATTTTTTTTAATACTGTAGATTTCTTTCTGACCATTTCCAAATATTTGGTAGATTGCTTTCCCTCTTTAATGTTAGGAAACTTGGTGTTTCATCAATGACAACTGATAAATTCTGCATTTTCAAAAAAGTCTCACAGTACCTGTAACCCCAGCACTTTGGGAAGCGAAGAAAGGAGGATCACTTGAGGCAGGAGTTTGAAACAAGCATGGGCAATATAATGAGATCCTCTTCCTACAAAAAGCTTAAAATATTAACTGGCATGGTGTCACACTTCTGTAGTCCCAGTTAGTGGGGAGGCTGAGGCAGGAGGATTGCTTAGGCCCAGAAGTTTGAAGTTGCAGTAAGCTATGAATGCACCATTGCACACCAACCTGGGTGACAGAATGAGATCCTGTCTTGGGAAAGAAAAAAAAAAAAAGTCTGATAATACATTTTATGTATGTATGTACACATTCATTTATTGAGACAGAGTTTGGCTCTTGTTGCCCAGACCACAGTGCAGTGGTACGATCTGGGTTCACTGCAACCTCTGCCTCTCAGGTTCAAGCAATTCACCTGCCTCAGCCTCCCAAGTAGCTGAGATTACAAGCATGCATTATCACACCCAGCTAATTTTGTATTTTTAGTAGATATGGGGTTTCACCATGTTGGTCTGGCTGGTCTTGAACTCCTGACATCATGTGATCCACCCACATCGGCCTCCCAAAGTGCTGAGATTATAGGCATGAGCTACCGCACACAGCCTCATAATACATTTTTAAGTGTAATCTAAAACTAGTATTGTTGAAACTGGGCTACACATAGATAGTTATGTTAGCTACACATTTATTGTTTAACTCTTATTCTTAAATGCACTGGTTACTGGCATAAATTATATTAGTATTATGACAAAAATTTTCAAATATGCATTTATATAGTAAAAATTTGTGAGCAATTGCCTCTTATTTTCTCAACTATTAAAAATAACAAATTGTTGAAGAATAATTGTTCATATCTTTAGACACAGTAATCTTATATAATCCATCATAATAAAATTTTAAAAATTAAAAGTATTATTTGCACAAAGCTGTTTATTGCAGCCTTACTATAACTTTGGAAAAATTAAAACCAACCTGAATGATCATTAAATTTAACTCTATAAAAAATATTAAACAGCTGTGCATCAGATACACTGCTAGGTAATTGGCCTTCAACAAGTTAATAATTTAGTAAAGGAGACATCTGGAAAATAATAACACATAATGTTAGTGCAGCGATTGAGATAATTTTATACAAAGATTAAAGATAGCCATTTATCCCATCTGGGGGATTTAGGGAAGAGAAATTGTAGAGAAGTTCATGTACAAGTTGAGTGTTGAATGTTAAGCAAGAATCAAGCATAGAAAGAGGAAAGGTCATGGGGAACGTGCAGAGACACAATGGCATGATACAGTACAGAATGTTTGGGAAACTAAAAACTGATTGGTATTTAGAAGTATAGGGATTTAACCAAGAAGTGTCAGGCACTGGTCTTTGAACTAAGGCAAAGAAGTTATTGTGTGCCATGATAAAAAATAAAGACTTTTATGTGGGTTGCAAAACCATTCTAAAGAGGTAAGTGAAATGATCAGATTTCTATATTAGTTCATTCTGGCTGTATTATGGGAAAAATTGAGAGGCTAGAAATAATATCAGATTGATTAAATAAGTTGTTATTTTAGAACCTCTTAACTAATATAGGCAAGAGATGATGAGATCCTAAATTAGGGTACAGGTAGCAAAGATAGAGAATGGGGCATTCCTTTAAAAAAAGTTTTAAGAGAGTAAATTGACAGGATTTGGTGTTTAAATGGATATGAGGGAGGGATGGTGAGGAAGAGCGAGGAATCTGAGATGAATGAGCTGTTTTGATTAAATGATGCATGGATGCTTCATATATGTATATAGATAGAGACAGAAAGAGAGAGAATATAGGAAGAGAAGCCACTTTTAGGGGAAAAGTTTTGGGCACATTAAGTTTGAAATGCTTATGAAATATCCAGGTAAAGGATATTCTATGGTAGCTGGATATGAGTACACAGCTCAAAGAAGAGCTCAGGGCTGGAAATTTGGAAGTCATCTGCATATAGTATAAATTAGAGGTATAAATTCAAACTATGAAGTCTATGATGGACTTATTTACAGTTTATTCCCTTCTTTGCCTGGTGAGAAAATATAGAGAAGAAATAGGATTGTGAATGAAAGTCTGGGGAACATTAATATTTAGGGTGAGGGCAGCAGGAACAATTTTAGAGGTAGGAGAACCAAGAGAATAGTGCCATAAAAAACAAGGAATTTGTGTGTTGAGAAGGAAGGAATGTGATAAACTATGTAAAATGCACTGGAAAGATCCAGAAAGTTAAAAATGGAAAGGTGGCTCTTAAACTTGGCTTAGGGAGATCATTGATGACTTTTGGTGGGTAATTTCAAACAGAGCTGTAGAAATGCTGTAGATACATTTCAGTGGGTTGAGAAGTGAATACTAAGTAAGGAAATGAACTATGAATTAAGACTATTCTTTTAAGAATCTTGCCAGAGAAAGGAAGGTCAGAATTAAGGCAGTAACTGATAGCATCAGAGGAAGTTTTGTTTGGTTTCATTTTGTTCTTGAAGAGAGAGACGTGAGTATTTTTATACTTAGATGAGTAAAGAGATAAGTAAAGAGGAATAGGGTAAAGATATATGTTAATCAACAAAGCAAGATCTTAGAGGAAGTAGCAGAGATCCATATCAAAAGCAAGGACAGAAAGTTTTGAATAGGAGAAAGAGAGACTCTTTATGCCTCAAGACAATTGAGGTTTACCGGCAGGGGGAGGGCGAAAGCAAGGGTTTAAAACAGATCTTGTACAATGGCTTTAGTTGTTTTCTTTAATTAAGAGAAGAGGCCTGCTAGAGAAGAAAGTGGGGATTGGATAGGTAGCTTAAGAAAACTGGGGAAGCTCTGAGAACTGTATTGTTTCTACTTACACATAAGGATGGCAATATACTGAAAGCATTTTTTGAATAGTCGTGCAAATATGTTAAATGTTGAATGGACATTCAGCCACATCACTCAACACGATAAACTACAGGTCTAATTCCAAGAATGAAACTCTCATTAGAACTGATTATTATTTGCCTTCTTCTATAGTTTAGATGTGTCCCTTCAAAATTCATGCATTGAAAACTTAATTGTTGTTGGAACAATATTAAGAGATGGTGCCTGGCCAGGTATGGTGGCTTACGCCTGTAATCCCAGCACTTTTGGAGGCCAAGGCTCCCAAAGGTTGAGAGTTGATCACCTGAGGTTGAGAGTTCAAGACCAGCCTAACCAACTTGGAGAAACCTGTCTCTACTAAAAATACAAAAAATTAGCTGGCAGTGGTGGCACATGCCTGTAATCCCAGCTACTGAGGTAGCTAAGGCAGAATCACTTGAACCTGGGAGGCAGAGGTTGCAATGAGCCGAGAACGCACCATTGTACTCCAGCCTGGGCAACAAGAGCGAAATTCCATCTCAAAAAAAAAAAGTTAGGTCTTTAAGAGGTGATTAGGCCATGAGGGTTCTGCTCTCATGGTGAGATTAATGCCATTAGTGTGGAAGTAAGTTAGTTATCTCAGGAGTGGGCTCCTGATAATAAGATAAGTCCTGCTTGCATTTTCTCTTTATCTCACTTGCTTGCACTTCATGTGATGATTTCCATATGGAATGACCCTTCCCTGATGCAGGCATCATGCTCTTGAACTTTACAGCCCCCAGAACTGTGAGCTAAATTAACTTCTGTTCTTTATAAATTATGCAGTAGTTTGTTAGAGCAGCAAAAATGGGCCAAGGAAGAAAATTGATACCTAAAGGGGGTCATTGTTATAACAGATATCTGAAAATATGGAAGTGGCTTTGGAACTGGTTAATGGGTAGAGGCTAGAAGAATTTTAAGTAGCAGTCTAGAAGAAGCCTAGATTGCTGTGAATAGAATGTTAAGGGTGATTCTGGTGAGGACTCAGAAGAGAGCCATAAGGAAATCCTGGAACATTTTAGAGATACGTGGGCATGATCAGAATGTTGGTGGTAATGTGAACAGTAAAGGTATTCTGATGAGGTCTCAAACAGAAA